TTATGGCAAAAAATGAATTTTTTTTTTGTCTGTAAGAATTTAAAATTTTAATTAAGATCTACTGGCTACTATGTAAAGGTTTTCACAAAATGCCTCATATCAAACAATTAAAATAACTTTGAGGAATCAGACAATTCTTCGCTCATCATATTTCTGTGCGAAAAAACGTGAGAAGAAAACTTCGTTATCATTAATTTTCTCATGATCAACATTGCTAGAATTTGATGAATTAGTTTTATCTTTAAGTTTCTGCAACTAATTTGATAAGTTTCGTATTTTCATTTATATTTCAATCTGTGATATTTATTTTAAAACACTGCGGAGTTTTTCATAGCTTTACAACTAGAAATTCTGTAGAGTAGTACTGTTTTAAAAAAATTGAAGAAAATGATAAGCTGATGAAAATATGAATGTTGAAAGACTTTCCAGAAAAATGGTAAAATCTCGAATTGAGATCTTATGAGAAAAGTATTTGAATACTAAAGTTACAGTTTCTCAATAATTATCAGATTATCATAGAGATGAATCTTAAATCAATTATTTGTTAATCTTCAACTGTTAGAAGAGTGATCAAAAAATATAGACAAAGCTTTTAAATTTGATGCGAGAAGAGTGAGCAAAAAGTAAATGGGGTCAAATAATACATTTCTCGTGACGCATTATTTAATGAGGGAAATGAGAGCTTACGCTTAACATGGAGCAAAACAGATAATGTCTTATCAGTATGTGTTTAGCTGGTGATCTTAATCAGATGATAGGACAAAAATTTTTATCCAATAATCATATAGAATAGATAATATGGAATTCTTAGCGAAGTGATTGCGTTAAGAAATCAAATCGTCAGTTGGTCAGACCACCAACAAATTGGCTGATAAACTAAACTAAGTGAAAAATCAAGTTATTTTTCAATGGATCAGCTGAATGATTTATCAGACCGCTAGGAGCACTGTATGCTGCAAGAAATATGAAAAAAAAGGAATTTGAAGATTTTACATTGGGTCCTTTTTCAAATAAGAATACTTTTGATAAGAGATTTTATCAAAAGCATTTTTGAAATGCTAAAAATAACAAATGGCTTCCAGCAGATTTGAAAATATGAAATATATAAAATCATTTAATCCTTGAAAAATGCACTTTTGATTGGAACATATTGTGAGTTGGGATTACTCGGTGAGGTTAATTGGTGTTATTGTTTCAGACAGCTGGTTTGCTCGATCTCGGCGTTCGGCCAACTCCTGGGACCACTATGTTGAAGTGCTTGTTGTTGCAGACAATAAAATGCTTCTCTATCATCAAAATAATCTTGAAAATTATGTGCTCACACTTTTCTCTACGGTTTGTTTCTTCTTTTCATTTGATAAACAAAATTGTCCCAACAATCAGTCAATCAGTTAATCAGTCGTCTAATCTTCGCCTTAATTGATTGTGCATATTATCAACAAGTAGTCAGAAAGCTCATCTGATGATACTTTACTATCAATTTTAAAAAAAAGTTCAAAAAAATTTTTAGACTGTATTTATTCTATCACTGTGGTTTCAATAAATAATCTCATTCGATCTTCATTAAATTATAATTACTTTTCCTTTCAGTATCCTTATTATGGAAGACACGAGGGTTAACTGAATAGAGTAATTTTTAAAAAAAAGAGGGTTAATTGAATAGAGCAATTTTTAAATATTATTTGCAACTATCTTTTTGCCATGTATAAATTTCAATAAGTATTTAAACGTCAATGTTTAAAAAAAAGAAATTTTGAATAGAAAGTCATTGATATGAATAATGATAAGATATTTTTAACAAAATTTCCCACCAACTCATATTTCAGGTAGCTTCCATTTATCGACATCCAAGTTTACGTGCTGCAATAAATATCATTGTAACACGTTTGATCGTTTTGAAACATGAAGCGGTTCGTTTTATCATCGCTAATAAAGCAATAATGCTAAAAAAAGCATATTACATTTATTACATTTCTGATAACATTTTGGACGAGAAAATGATGTCATTATATGTTGTTACACTATTAGCTCATTTCATCCGTAATCAAAACTGAATGGGATTATTCAATTGACATGTTGTTATTTATTTTACAAAAATAATTTCAAACACTCTAAATTACCAATATTCCTAATTTCATTTGCTATCTTTAGAATAGATATAACTTGCGATGCTTAAATGCTAGAGATAGTAATAGATTATTACTTAATCAAATTAATATAAATCACTGTGAATAAATGATAAATTTATTTGACATAATAAAGCAAGAAATGATTATATTTTAGGCTGGACCACATATTAGTGATAACGCACAAGATACATTGCAACAGTTTTGTCGCTGGCAAGAAACATACAATGATAAGAATGATGACGCTCCAAATCATCATGATGTAGCCATTCTCCTTACAAGACATGATATATGCAGGTTAAAATTTTGAAAATTACAAGTCTTTAGAAAAAATTTTCAAATTCTTACTTTAATTGCTCATTTAATATGAGTGGATTACAATTTATTTTATTGATATTTGTTATGCTTTGGGAATTAATTTAAGAAAATCAAATCAAATATTTTCAGTTTCTAAAATTTTCTACTGGTCTAATCTTTTCCAAAAATCAAAAAATCTAAAATTTCCAACTATTAATCTAATTTTTTCCACTACTTTGCATATGTTAGCTTCTCTCAGATATAGCCTGCATCTTGTTTTTCGATGTAAATTTTGGATGGAGCTAACTGAGAAAACAAATCCGTTATTTAATGGTCGCGTATTTTTATTTTGCATATTTTAATTTTGATAATATAAATAGAATATTTATACCTAACTTGAATGACAGGGCACCCGGAAAATGTGACACACTAGGTCTTGCCGAATTAGGCACTATGTGTGATTCATTACGAAGCTGTGCAATCATCGAAGATAACGGCTTATCAGCTGCATTTACGATTACTCACGAATTAGGCCATATGTACGTTAAATTTTCACTACTTTTATATTTTAACTAACAATTTATTCTTTTCTATCACTAATACATTTTGCAAATTAAAACATTAAAAAAACATTAACATATTTAATTAAGCAGAAATGATGCCAACTATACAACACAATAATGGATTGTATAGTCGGTAGTAAATATTTGCGCTCCTCAATATAGAAAATCATTGTTGCAAATGGAATTTATGT